AAGTTGTCCCTAGGCTGCAGAATGAATCTCTCCTTATATTTCCCCCTCCTGATCTCTTTCATATCGACCTAAGGGTTCAAACACTGAACTACGCTTCTCTAACAAAAAGTACGTCTGGAAACTCAGACCTTGGTGTATGTACTCTTCCTTACTCAGCTCTCGTCCAACTCCTGGATTTTAGGGCTGGCACTGAATCTCTGACCTTTTTTCATGAGATGACGGTGACCAGATATTTGTGACAAAGAAAATCACCACCATGATGCATAAATCTCCAGCAACAATATGGAAACATGTCTTGGATAGACTGAAAAAATGTCGTCTCAGTCTGGCTAAAATGTGGAATGAAAACGTCTCTTTGTGCTGAATGGGGGAGCTAGGTCACAGTCTTGTGCCTAGCAAGATGTCCTGTCCAAGAGTGGGTCAAACTCTTGTACCTCCCAAACCATCAGATGGTCATTAAGCTGGGTCCATCAGAAAAACACAGCCCAGGGCTGTGGGGCAGGAATATGGAAACGGTGAGAACCACTGAAAAACAAACTGGAATGTGCTACTGCCTTTCAGGGGATTTATTTTCATGCCCAGGTATGGATAGAGCAGGAAGGAGAGAGTTAAAAGTGATCCACACCTATTCTGTCACTTCGGAACATATGGTTTGTTCTGTCCCCTGCAAGGGGAGGTGGCAGCTTGGCAAATGTGGAACTGCAGGAGACACAGGGTGAAATGTAGCCTAAAGAAGTGGAGTTAATACTATTCAGAGACATGGGGAACAAAAACTAATGACTTAGTAGGGAGTCATGCATTTTTTTTGCAGTCCTGACACCTATTATATACATAGCATAACACAAAGATTTTTTTTTGAGAAATAAATATCTGTTTTAAGCTTCAGAAAAATTCAGCAGTTTAAGACATTACGAACAGATGATGTTCTCACTTTTTTTATGAACTCCAGCCATCAAAATGCTCTCCCTCCTCTCAGTGACTAACCCAGCACGAACAGGAACAAACATGATCAATTGTGCGAGCAACACTAAACACAAAAGCACTACATATTTGACTCCTGACCTTAAAACAGCCCCATACTACAGGGAAATGTCCTCCCACTGGCAGCAAAATGACCTGGTGACAGCTCCTGTACCACAGGAGATCCTGTCCCTCCCCACAGGTTGCTCTGCCTGGAAGTCACATTCTGAACCATGACCCTAAGGGTGAAATGTCAGGGACATCCTGCTGAGCCAAATGCTTCCCACCTAGTCTGGATTTTGCCCTTTTCTTTCCCGCAGGAAACTCTAGTGCATGTCCGGGACAGTGCAAAGCCATCTATTTGTAAAGCCAGGTTTAAAGACTTGCTGAGACATTACAGTTCCAGCCCTGGAACTAAAAGTCCGTAACCTAAGTTCCAGGTGCATGGAGTGATTTGCAAAGCATGGTATCGTCATCACAATAAGTTACACCACTACGACATGCACTAAAATAACGGACGGTGTTATTTGAGAAATCTGCTGCAGCAAGGGAGAGAGAGAGTAGAAAATATAATTGTAATGGGAAAAGTTAAGGTAAGGCATTGACTGAGCAAAGATCAAGCTACACATTAAAAATGACCGCACTGTTTCTGTCACATATGGTATTTTTGTCAAACTGAAGTACTTTTAAAGGAAAGCCAATTATTCTGACAGTCTTTAGATTTTTCTAGGAAAGCCTGCAATTAGGCTCTAATACTGATGAATTCATTTTCACTGATAAGTCAAACTGGAAAACCTGAAAATCTCAATTTCTGAATCCCCCAATTAACAAAGGATTACATCTTAACCTGCAAATTCTCTCTCATAGGAGGAGTGATTGTTCAGCATCTCTAAAGAACCAATCATTAATTTAGGCAGCCATATATGAATTTAGGAATTTAACTTTAAGTCCATGCATTTGAAAACATAGCATTTCTAGATTAATATTTTTATCTTAAACAATAATCAAAAAAGCTTCTTTATTTTTTCCTTCTGAAAATGAAATTCCTCAGTATAATTGTATAAGATTGGCAAGCTGAGTTTGCTCAGGAGTGCAAATTTTTATGACTCTGGAACTAACCTAGGTCAAAATACTAGAAATTCTCTTACTATAAGAATTTTCTGGCAGGAAAGAAACAAAATTAATAGCTATAAACTGTCTATAAGTGTTCTGATCCTGTAATCATCAATGTGTGCATATGCATTTATATAAGCTGTTATCTTCAAAGACTGAAAAAAAATATAGAAAAATAAACTAACAAAACCACCCTAAGGAACTGTGGAACATGTGCTCCAATTTCTATTTTATCAAAGCTAGATCATGAAAATACTGCTATGGCTTTGGAGACAATATGTGATAAAAAGCTATTTGCCTACTGTTAGCATTCATAAAGCAGAAAATCTGTCTGCAGATTTCTCCTTCAAATTCTCTTCTAAATTTGCCTCAAAGGTTAATCTAGCCTTTTAGCAAAGCTTTACTTTCCTCATACAAACAGATGTCAGACTGTTTACGCAGAGCAAGCCCAGTAAACACTGCTGTGGAAGGCTGCTAATGTTCAAGGAGATATGCTGTGTGCTTGCTGGAGCTTCAAATGCCACCACACATATGCACACATTCCCTTACTCTCTCAACGTGCACATCCTTGGCAGTATGGGACATCACCCTGCCTGGGTAGGTGGCGTTTGGCCCAGAACAAGCTGCTACTCAGGGACAGGTCAGTGCCACACTAAACCTTTTGGAGATACAAAGAGTGGCAAAAAAATAATATAGCCTTAATTTGGGCTATTCTATATAGGTTAGCTTGCCCTAACTTGGTTCAAAAGTTGGTTTGACCTGCAGTGTGTTCTACAATCAGTTAAGAAAGATAGCTTGAGCTTGGCTTCCTGACCTTCAGAGGCCTATCTGAACCTGTGATTTATAAGAAAATCAAATGATATATTTTTTTCTTCTAATTTGACACAGATATAACACAAAAGCAGTCATTCAAAAGAGGCTTTCGAATCTTGAAAGTGTGACTTCTTATGATACAGAAATATTGCATTCTCCACAGGGAACTGGCTGCTTTACACGAAGTTTGTAGCTGCTCTTGAGAAGCTCAGGCACATGCTATAGTTGCAATACATTATTTCAAAAATTATTGTCTCCTCAAAACTTCACATAACTTCCTGTACAGAATGCTCCCCGCCACCCCCCACTCCCAAACCCCTGTTAATTATCTGCTTAAATTTACTTTAAAAATTAGTCTTAAACAGGTGGTTAGAATTTAGTGAGTACTTTACTTGTCTCCCTGATAAATATGTAAGTGCATTTACAAACTGCTGCCTGAGGGAAACAGGGTGCAGAGTGTTCTGTACAGGACAGTTAAAGGTAAATCAATTAAAGCACAAACAATGAATGTCCATAGGTCTTTAACAGCTGACACACTTATAGCTGGGTTTGGGTTTTCACTTCAACCACCTGTGGCTGAGAGCGTGCTTGGCCAGCTGATCAGAAGATAAAATGTTTTTACAAGTATGGACTGTAATGAAGGTTAGAGGTGGTATTTCAAACCAGTAATCTCTTTCTTTTGGTGTTTACACCATGTTGTGGGAATTACTGGGTCTATAAATGCATGAAGTTTTTATTCTCAGCAGAGGAAAGATTCTTTGCCAATCCAAAGCATGTGTAAGCGAAGGGAAGTAAATTAAAAGTACTGCAGTGTCATAGTCAAAATACGGCCTTGCAGGGTTTTTTGTTTTATCTGGTGGAAAATCAGAAGTGCCTTGTATCCCCTTAGTCTGGCTTTCTGGGCCAAGTCATAACTGGGGTTGCAACTTCGGGACTACTGCCATGAGTCACATCCCATGCGAGGTGATGCTCGCATGGGCACCTGCCCTGGCCTTCATCTCCCCCACTTTGAGAAGGAACCAGCACATTTTCTGCACTGTGAAAGTCTCATAGGATGAATTATTATTGAAAGTGGAAGACCGGTTGGGTGCTTGATAGTTCCTGTCATTTAAACTAACTTTTGTCTTGGATGAACATTTAACAAAAAAGCATATCTAACACCTGGGACCAGCTCTTTTGAAAGGGCAGTTCTTTTTCCTTCTCCTTCCCTGTTGCCATGGTTGCCATCACAGCAGGACTTGGCCTCAAACACAAAATCACTCATGTAAGAGAAAGGCTATGAAAACTCTTGAGGTTTGAAACACTCAAACCCAGTCCAAACCAGTCCCAGCATATTGACCTTTGGGCACGTCAGAGAGTCCCTTTGTCACATGCTCAGACAGAAATTAGCAGGAAATTGTACAGGGAGTACACAGGGACCTAGAGTCTTCTCCAGGGCTTCTCTACCACTGAGGAGCCCAAACTATCTCCTGTAGGAATTAAGGGCCATCACAAGTCTCATCACTTTCTACTCCAGGCACAAGGTGCAATTCTTTACCCTGACATCACTGCATCAGTGCAGAGTCCCATTTAAGAAAAATTCTCAGAATCTACTAACAAGGAAAAAAGCGAATAAAAAGCTTTTTACTGCACAGACCATGCCTTCTCTGGGGAGAGATGGAGAGAAGCAGCAAGCCATACGTGCAATTCTCAGCTACAATGCTTAACATGATAAGGGAATGCAATCAAACACTAAATGGAACAGAGATTCTATTAAATCAAAGGGTTTTGAACATACACAGAAGTAGTTGCTGTGTTAGTTACTAGACAAAAAGGATTTTTTCAGTACTTTCATTTTTTACCACTATTTAAAGCCCAATTTATATTTCTCTTTTTTTTTTTTTTTACCAGAATGAGCATGTAAGTCAAAATAAATATCTGAATCTGCTTAAGACACAGTGCAAATGGCTTCTCTCTTCCCCACTGCATGCCCCAAATGGTGATACCAGAATGCTATGTGATACCTAAGGTGAGGCAAGGAAAAGTAAAACATGGACTAATCCCAGTAACTCCTGCCTTTCAATGCTCAGCTGAATTCTCTATAGAGGAAACATTCCTTGATGACTATAACTTACCTCTTCTCTATGTTCTTCTCCAGAGCGCTGAATGTACCACCTAATAGAGGCTTGCTGGGACTTAGGAATACATTCCAGAAAAGTTGAATTAAATTCAATGCCAAAAATCACCTTTTCATCAGCAGTTTCATGACTAATGCCTGGAAAGCAAACATGGTACAGGAGATTAACCCTGACCTGGTTTTTAAAGCAATGGGAAAATAGCCTGATTCAGAACAGATGCTATAAGAGCAAGTGAATTATAAAAAAGCAAAAGGAAACTTAACTTTTAGCTTAAACTATAACTATGAGGATTTAGAGGCGGCTGCTAACCTTCCTTCGTGCAACTGTTTTTTAAGGAGGTCAATAAAATCTATATCACAAGCTTGCTCCATTTTAAAGTGGGGGCTTCCACTTTGGAGAAATTTAAAATCTGACCTGTATTTTTCCTTTAAGTAATGCAACTACTAAACCTGAGCTAAAGCTGCAAAAGGTAGATTGTACGGTCTGGTTTGTTCATCTCAAACACCTTAAAGGAGTCACAGGGCTAAAGTAAACTGAAATTTACCTTTCTTCTGTACAATTTGAAATGCTGTGTAGTATGTTTCAGACCAAACACTGAAGGAGCCATAAGCAGATCTGGGCTCCTTTCTTGGCCTTCTGTAAACCTGAGCAAGTAAACTCTAATCTCTGCATCTCCATTTCCCTTTCCATTCTGTTTTATCTGTGTCTTATCTGCCTTACCATCACACTAAAGCTCTTTCTTATGCCCTGCCAATAACAGAAAGGAAGGTGAAAGCAGTGGTGTCTCCTAAATCAAAAGTTAGCTCAACAACAATATGAATACAATTTTGGATTGTTTTTTCAATATAATAAGTACCTATATGAGATCGACAGAAATTCAAGCTCTCTACATTAAATGCTTTTCTTATATTTCACTGTGCCACTGAGATTTCAGTAGAGCCAAACAACTTCATGCAGCCAATGAAGTCTCTGGGAGGGAATCTCACACAGTGGAACACTGAATTTAAATAGGTTTTGGGGCCATAATGTTATTAATTATAGCAAATGGCATAAATATGCCAAGAGCCTGGAGTGGCACAGGTCAGTTTTATGGTTTTATAGCACACAGGGGTCATCCTCAGATGGATAAAATTTCTACTGGTGGTGCTACATCAGGGCAAAGCATTATTACCAATTTCTGTGCTAAGTCATTTTGCATTTGTTTAGTAAAGCCAACTCTTCCAGTATTTCTTTATCCTTCAAGGAAAATGTGACATTGTCAGCCCTTCTGCTAGGGTTTCTATAACCTTGAGCTTTTCACAGTCTCAGATACCACTGTCTGGAGAGCCATGGTAAGCAACAAGCAGGGAAAGTCTGACTCTTGGGAATGAACAGGATCTTTGTCATTTACTTAAATGGAAATGAGATTTTACCCTGACTTTTTAACTACATCTGCAAGCACACATGTACAGCAAGAGTCCTCTAGACTGTGCAACAGACTTAAGTCTTTGATCCTGTGGCAAGCAGCTCTGATTTCTGCAGTAACTCACGCCGAGATCTGCGGCAGGCATCCAGCACCAGAGTGGCACGAAAATAACCAGAGATCAATGGAAAGTGGTGGCTCGTCCCGAACCAAACGTTCAGCACAGCGATACAATCAATACTGTTTTGACTGGGTTGTTCACTTTAATAAGCGGCTAGAAGAGCCCCAGACAAACCCAAGCTTGGTTTTGAATGCTTTTCATTTATTTTACGCTGCCGCAGACATTGCCGCGCAACCGCAGGATTTCATACTGACAGTGCTCGCTGTAAGAGAAGTGCTCCAGTTGCCAAAGGAGCAAGCCAGACCCTTTGGCATTTGAAAAGAGGGTGTGGGAAAAGGAGGGGGGAGCCAACAGGGAGAGGGGGGTAGGCTCTTGTTAATAACAGGAGTATTTAAGTAGCTGCGGGGAAGGGAAGGGGCTGGCTTGGCAGCTGGAGCTGGGCTTTGGGACTTATGTCAAATGTATGTGGCAGAAGGGGAGAGGATGGCGTGTTCCCCGTTCATCCCTGCGGGTTTCCTCGTGGGACCATCTCCCCTGTTTCTGGGTGAACAGATGTCCTGGTACCTACTTGTAGGGATGTGTGTGAGGTTTTTGCATTGCAGGCACATCTTTCTCCCCTGGGTGAATGCTGGGGAGGGTCACCTGTAAGGGATGCAAGGGTGCTGTCCCATGCTGGCTACCCCTTATCAACCCCGGCTCCCCAAATTTAACTGTGGGAGGAGTAATGTATACGAAGCGTGGGAAAGGCAACTACTTTTAACAGTGTTATTCAGTCAGGCTCAGCAGGTTTTCACAGACAGTGACCCTTACAGTAAACTCTGTTGTCAGAATGACTAAAGAGTAAGAAAGACGCAAAATACTCACTGTCTTCCACATCCCAGCATTGTGCAATAGGGTCTCCATATTTGACATCTTGCCTTCTGGCTCGCCTATGGGAAGAACATGCAAACTTGTAACACTTCAGGCGTAATTGCTGGAATTCAACAACAAAATACAGAGGAGCTCAGCAGATGTGGATTCACATTGCTCCCACCCTACTGCTGACAATTACAGTCTTAACTAAAACCAGCCTCACCCTCAAAGCAGCATGTGGCCTAGAGAGATTTGTACAATTGACATCAAGAGAAGGGCCTGTGATTTGGGAAAACCACTGGGAGGGGAAAGAGAAAAAACTGCCTAGAATAAAGAGTGTGCAGTGTAGTGACAGAAAGAGCATCTAAACCTGCTTTTGGAACATGGGGCACAGGTTTCCTGGTGGGATGGACTGTCTTGAAACCTAAAAACATCCTTAATGTTGTATGTCATGGAAAAAATCTGAGGTTCAACAGGTGATATTAAAAATGTAGCTCATAATCAGACCAAGGTAATACTGACTAGTAAACCAATCATTAAAATAAGAGAGAAAGACATATGTTTTAGTTTGGCAGCAATCATTTGACAAATCTTATTATCTTTCATGTTTATGGACAGAAAAATCGCTTGAGACAATGCTCTGAGACGATCCGCTGCCTTCCACAACTAACTTGCTTGCTAATCCTTGGGTGTGTTACTTAAACTCACTGTGATTTACTGTAATTTCAGTGTAATAGAATTAAAAAAAAAGGTAAACTTTTCCTCTGTGAATGTTTGCATTTATCTCCCAAGAGCTACAAAAAAAGTTGTATTTTAAATCTTTAGTGGAAGAATTGGAAACCCAGCGAGGAACTGGTTCCTCCCTCACAGCCACACTGGAGATAACAGGAGTGGGACCTCTTGTGTGCAGAGCAATGTATCATCAGGAGAGCGGGTTCTTGAGGCCAAGCTGTCCATTGTGGTAAAAGCTGTAGACATGCTGGAAGCAGAGGCTACTGCACACAAGAAAAATATTCAAGTAACTGATGTACTGGAGGATTCCCAAGGCCAGTCACCCATTCCTTGTTTTAGAGACACAGACTTTTGGCCTTCTCACCAAACTGCACATCTGTTAAAAAGCATGGACCATCAATCTCTGTGTCCCAGCTCACCTCAGGCTTCAGCAAGCTGCATGTGTCACTAACTTTGCAGTGAGCCTGAACACTTGCCTTTCTCCTTTCACTTATGTTTGTCTGAATTTAGTTTGGTTTGGCTTTAAGGGAAAACACATAAAGCTCCTTGACACCATGACATGATAACCTATGAGTCATTAACCTCAGTTGTTTGTCTAATTGCTCAGGTTCCAGCCCAGCAACCGCTAAGGTAGAAAGTCTTATTCCAGAGCCTGAGCTCAGACTGCAACATCCAACCCTCACTGTAAGAATTACTGTCAGGAAGACTTCATCTAAAGGGGAATGAAGAGTCTGTGAAGGACTATGGCTCAGTAAGAGAGCTCAGAGATCTGGCTAAACCAGACAAAAACTTCAAAGGACACATCCAGCAACTTACTACTGCAGTACAGGTACTGCAGTGCTAGAGCCTGCAGCATGCTCTCCCTCCACGCAGTTTCATGCTGCTGTCCTGGCTGGTCAGTTCAGAAGTTCGTATGAAGCTTCTTTCACTGTGGAAAATCTGCTCCCAGTGCTATCAAATCACAGTACTTAAATCTCTGTTTCCCTCTCATGGCTAGACCACAAATACAAATGACGAGAGTGACACTCTGGGTCATTATATGGGTTGGTTAAATCAGACAGGAGAAGCTTGTTCCTTTAGATCAGGGAATTAATTGTATTTTAGTATTAGCCACTCTGGCATACTATGTTAACCTTTGTTTTATAATTACAGGGGTGCCTTATGCAAATGCAGAAACTTGAGAGGCTCTTGCATCCACAATCTGGACCTCCATCTGAGCATCTGATGCCTTAAAGCATCCAGCATAAAAAAGGTGATACATTTATGATGTTAACTGCAGTAGCTGAGTTACTGTCACATTCACTTAAGTAAAGTTGTCTTCACAGCTCTTTGAGCAGAAACGTGAAACACGGCCAGAGTATGATCAACTTTTAAGTCAAATGACATGCTAAGTAAAAAAGGCAGCACGTTCTGACTGGGAACCTCTAAAATTCTTGCAAGCAGCAAGTTTTTTTACAGCATGTTGGATTTTTTTTTTTTCTTACCTTTTAGAAGTGGGGGCATATCTGGAACACGAGTTTCCATCCCATGCACAGTATGGGTCTCTGGCAAGACAGCAGTCTGCACAAGCCTTCCCATACGTGTGACATCTGTGCAGAGAGAGCTGAACCAATCCATCCCTGGAACCAATGTACAATTGTTGCTGCAAATCAGGCAAAGCGAATGAATTAGGAGTGTTCTCCAAGTAGCCCATTTAAACAGTTCCCTTCTTCAGTGCCACGCTTGCAGACTTTCAACCTTGTCCCAGATTTTACAAAACGAGGGGGAATTCCTCCTTTACCATAACATGTTTCTCAAGGCTCGGCGGGAACTGGCCAGTCCCCATCAATCCCTGACAACTCGGCAGAGAGGAAAGGGGACTGCAGTCCTGGAAAGACAGCAGCACTCAACACCCTTACACCTCTAGATTTGTGCTGTAAGAAAAAATCAGAAGCAAACCATGGAAAGAATGGTTTAATAACACATTTTAAAATAAGTGGCTGAACAGCCATGATGTTAAGACTCTGAGAACTAGGGATGACCTTGTGTGAATAAACCTGCATCTTCTGTTTCTGATCCTTAGGTAGGATGGGGATAATATTACTTCGCTCTCCCAATGTGTGAGCAGATTGCCTGTTGAGACAAGGGTGGTCCAAGAGCTTGCTGATGAGCCGGGGCTGGCTCATGCAATACTTCCAGCTGGCCTGCCACCTTTTTTCAGGGGAGATGGGACCCAGCTGTGCTGTGCGTGCCTGAACAGCAAAATACCTCCTCCTGTGTGAGGGAGTCGTGTTGTGCCGGAGCTGCTCTGGCCAGTTCTGTGGGGCAGGAAGGATGGTTCTGGTGTCACGCTGCCTCCTGAACGTGCACGTAGCCATCATAGAGCTCGGAGCTGCCATAAAATCGTTTCCTATCAGGAGATTCCCAACTGGCTCCTGTGACTGCCAGAGCTGGACCACCCAGATTTAGACTGCAATTTTAGAGGAGGGGTACTGATTTTTAGTCTGTGTGCACACAAATTTAGCACAATGAGGCCCTGATGTCTCTTGACTACTAATAAAAATAACAACAATAATAGTAATAATAATTTATTACTAGATTGTAAAGAGACAAGTATTTCTGGTGTCCGGAAAAAGAGTGTTGCATTGACTTAATCCACAAATCCCACTACCATATGACTAAAGATTTATTTCCATGAATAATAACCAGCTTGGGTACACAAATCACCATTTGTAAGCAATGTGAATTAGGCAGGCAAACAAGTTCAAATGCATCTCCTTCTTTCCAGATAGGCTTTAAGAGTCATCCGTGGAAAGTTTGGCCAGTAACTAACAGGCAGCACCTGAAAATAACAAGCCAAGTGTACCATATACCCTGCAGTAATTAAATGAGCTTGTGATTACCTGCTTCTGAGAAATCTCCATGGTCGAGATAAACGAAGGGTGCTGAAAAATGAAATAGTAAGCTGCATTAGTTTACACTTTCCCCATTCTTAATGAAAATGAGAAAAGAACCTAACATACAAAAAGCAAATAAAGTTACAGATTCATTTGCTTGGTTTAAACAAATATTAAACCCCAAACCTTAAAAATCACTAAATTCGTGTTTCCAAAAATACCTCCCATAAATTTTCCATGCGGCTTATGAGACGAGTGACTTTAATTGTCAGAGTTTGCAATCTATCCCATCCCGGAGACCGGTAATGAGCCTTCACATCAACTTAACTTCTTATTAAGCACTATCTGAAAGGATTAGATGGCATTTAAGGGATACATAGGCAGATCCTCCGCATCAGGATGTCTTTCACTGCTGTGACAGTGAAATTTTTGCCAGTGACTGATGTAAAAACAGGCAGAGCATTATCTATTGCCTAAAAGAAGATAATTAGTCTAAGCCTATTGTTTAATGTTAATGCTGTTCGAGGAAATAAGGGATGTTTTTTCAGCCATTCACTCCCTTCAGTTTTCTGGATTCAAAAACATAGAGGTAGGAGTTATAAAGGTTACCAATAAAAACGTGAAGGAATGCATACTAAACAGGAAGAGAGTAATCTTTTTTTTTTTTGTCTTAAATATGATATGGTACATTTGCCCTCGACGTGATGTTTTAAGAATGCAGCAAATTCGTGCACATAATGAAACTACTGATTACTTGGCAGGCCACTGAGTAATCTTGAAATTTTCAAAGTGATATTTATAATTGGTGTCCAAGACACTGGGAAGAAGACCTGGAGATCCTTTACATCAAAGTTTCACTGTACACCTGACATATCAAAAGGGATATGGAGAAATACATTCTTTGAAATAATTATTAAAGATCCTGTCCTTACACTTGGAAAACACTGTCTCTAAGTCCCAAATTAATTTATTTAGTATGGGCAGAAATGCTGGCTAAGACCTTGTACAGCACATAGGAGAGAGGATGTGTGAGAAAGTGATCAAAATGCCATGGATGCAGATAAAATCTAATGAGAATGTAAAGTGAAAACTGAAGAAAAGCTATACAAAGTGAGAAAAAAAATAGAAAAATGAGATGCAAAGAATGAAGAAGGAAGTACCACATGAAACAAAAATCAAAAGGGAAGACACTGGTCTCCATTTTCCTACTGTAATGCTATATCGATGTCAGCTCCCTCAGCAGCCATGATGTTAATCAAAAATTCTGTCTGTGCAACAGAAAGGAGGTTTGGACTTTTTACAAGCTCTTTTTATGAAAAGATCATTGGGTTTAGCAGGGTTCCAGTTACTTTTCTTCGTTATCACTCAGCCAGAATAACCAATTCAAAATGGCCAAAAACGTTGAGACAGCCTTCACTGATAACACGTCAAAACTAGCTTTGTTTTGTTTTCTTTGTTTTCAATTTATTTTAAAGAATTTATCTAAATCCATTGAATTTGTTTGTTTGCTTGTTTGTTTTTAAAAATTTTTAATTATAGTAAGAATAGGCCAAAATCTGAGACAATAGAAAGATTGACATTAAAAATAAAATACTACTACTACTAAAAAAATTGAGCACATAATAAGATTTCAGACTAGAAGAAGGCAGGATAAATGAGACTTTCTATGAGTTTCAAAAATCATGGCCTGTTTGGTTCTGGATTTTTTTCAATTGACTTACCCAAAAATACCAAGGCATTTAAAAATTTACATAGTGTCCCTCTGGAAACTTGAATGAGTTCAGGTAAACACACAACCAGACAGACAAAGCCTGTTTGGGCCTTAAAGTCCCCTGAATAATATTTAATTGATGTTGTGGCTGCTAATGCTTACCTTGAATATTTGCAGCTCTTCCAGGACCACCTCCTCCTTAGTCCACTTCTCCTTTGTGATACTCACAACTTTCAAGACTGTGCCTATGTCTGAAAAAGATGTTCATCATGTAAAACCCACAGTTCTGTTTCAGTACATATGTGCCACTCCATTTCATGCCCTGAAGATAAAGCTAGTGCATCAAGGATGTAGCCTTCAAACAACATCTACCCCTATCTGCATCTATTGCTGTACAGATAGCTCTCTACATCTATGGTTTTACTGTAGGGCTGAGCCAACACAACTGTAGCCTGCTCCTGGCAAGGACAATCCAGCTCTCCTATTACAAAAACACACACACAAACACAGGCAAGAACGTCCATGCTGCCAGCTAGAAGTTTCTGCGCATTTCCTTGAGCCAGAATTGGGGCCCATCTGACCCCAGAGAGATACAGCTTAGGGGACTAAATTGGCAGAAAATTATTTCCTATTTTTTATAGAATCAATTTTCATTCAGTGTAGCACCTTAATCAAAAGTAGGATTTATTTTACTGTAGAGAGTTAAGCAATGGACTTTTTTTTCATTTATATTTTCATTTTAGGGAAATCTGTGAATAAAATCTCCATTCAGCATCAAAATCTTGATTTATCCATTATATAAATTACTTCCTTGGAGTTATCTAGAGATTTTTTTTTAACTTAAATTTTTTCATCAATTTTAACTTGAATTCCTGATTGGTGAAAAAAAATTTATCTCGGACCATTACACACTGGTGAATCTTGAATGGCCATAAAAAGACCCCTTAAAAACTGCTCAGGAGAAGTGGACTGTGTGCTGGGATGTGCAGCGTGGAAATGACACAGCACAGCTTAGTCCTAAGCACTATGCATAGTACTGAAATGATGAAAAATAATACATTATAATGGAAAGAATGACATTTTCATTCTTGTTTTCCCAAACTACTAAAGATCATATTACTAATCAAGGCCAAAAGTATTTCAGTTTGCCTTATGTACTACAGCCCTTTTTCTGTTTGTTTGTTTGACATAATTGCCAAAGCCTGCATATGTACAAGTTGGTTGCATACGTTCAAACCTATAATAAGCTTCTGATTTTCTGCTGCTCAAAATCTCCTTGTTTATTTGTTATCTCTGTATTCAGTCTCTCTATATAATATTTGAAATTTTATCTTCAAGTTTCTTTTTTTCCATAGGATGAGTTTAGTTGATAAAATAGAACAAAAACATGTGCTTCTGGGAAAGAAAACTGACTTTTAAGAAAGGCACTGCAGACAAGTAACTGTCTGCATATTATGGAGTGCCACCTAGTGACTGCACGGTACATGCTGGCCTTGACACCTCTAAACCGGACGATTTACTCTGAAAGAATTAGCATTAGTGCTGGGTGGTAACAGTTAACCTGGGAATACTCGAGTTGCTGGACTCTCAATATAGTTTTATTCCTATGACAAATAATATAGTGGAAGATAAAAAAACATCTGAAAGCAAACTCTATGGCACTAAAAGAATATTTTGTACATTTTAACTAGAGAAAACATCATCCTGGACAGCTAAATTTTAAATCAGTTTTTCTCACAATTTCAGAAGAAAAGTAAGTTTTAGTGTGTATACCCAAGTCCTAGGCATCTGACAGCTTGGAAGTGTGTTCCCTTTCCTTCTCTGTGGACTATATTAAAGATTGCATTCAGAAAACAGCAAGGATTTTCTGACATCAGAGCCAAAGCTAATTGCCAGCTGCCTTAGGCAGCAAAGGAGCAAAGAGCACCTTAATGTTGGTTTTTATGAAACAGCTTTTCTCTCTGACACCACTGTACTTGACTTGTGGGGATCAGAGAGGGGCTCTCACACCATCTTTTTGGAAAAGAAGAATTGTGATAGGGATTGAGCTGAAAGACACACATCGTCCAAGAGAGTGGCTGTGTCTGGACCCATCTGTGTGGTAACACAGCCGGGAAGCTTTTGAAGGCTGAGACAACCCACACTTTATATGAGGTGATGCTCTATGACCATACATTCCTTTCTCCAAATCACTTCAGCGTATCAATACCTATCAAGCTACACTATATGACACCAAATTTGCTTATAGGCAAGATAAAATGCTGTGCAGCCCAACAGCACTGGACTGGGGTTCAAACAGAAATCATTATTTCCCTGCCGCTCATGGCAATAGCTCCTCCCTTGGACAAATCTTTCCACCTCCATGTACCTTAGTTACACCTGCTGTGAGATGGGGATAATGGCAATGACTTCCTTATTAAAGCATTCAGATCTACCAGTGAGAGTTGCATTATAAGACCAATTATTAGTGAGAGAATGTCAAATTGCGGATAAAGAACAAGAAATTCCAGTGGAGTAAGATGGTAGATCATTACTTCAGAAATGTTATAAATAGGTATGTTAATATTTCTTAACATACCATGCTGTTGGGTGATTCATCCAGTGATTCTAAACTTAATTACTATGCAAAACCAGAGTTTTTCCTTAAGGCATAATACTATCATAAAAATGTAAATAGATCAATAATTATCCATTAAAAATTGCAAAGCAGGTTTCTTTTCTGACAGAGTAGTTTAACCTCTGTCTGTTCAATCCTCATCCTCTTGTTTGGAGATATTAATGTTGCTAAGTTATATCTTTAAAATTATTTAAGTGGAATTGTTGCCTTAGGCTCACTTTTAAATCTTTATTAACTGTTCAATGTCACATGAGATTTAACTCTGAAGCACCATGTCACTACTGATAAGAGGAAGTACTCCTTGAAGTTATTAAGGTTTAGGTTTTTTTAGATTTTATTTGGTTACTGATGTGCTGCCAGCAGGACTACCATGTAATGTAAAGACAGGTACTGAATGGTACTCAGAGGGTAAGAAAGTCTGTGTACTCTGACCCTTAACTGGTTTATCACCTAGGGACCAGGAGGCAATAAAATCCCAACAGTAGTATCTCAAGAATGGAGAAATTAATCTAATCTTAGCATTTGCATGAAGAACTGGCACAGAATTAGGAGCATCTAAATGCTACCCGAAGCTACATGTGACGGAAGAAGATGTTAAATCAACAGGTGTATTCAAGACCTGCTGGACTAAAATTGTTCTTAAAGGCTGTGGTTTGTGCAGAATGATAGTGGAAGTGCTCTCTCATACCTGTTCCTAGGAAAATAACATCATATTGTCCATCCTCTGCCATGACGTGATCCACCACAATCTGAGTCAGACGATAGTCCACGTTGATTCGAGTGAATACTGGTGCTCCCGTCACTGGGTAAACGGATTTGTACATCAGTGGGTGGCGTTTAATAAAGCTAATGACTTCATCGGGAAAGTCTCTGGTAGACTTTATGAGCGGGTCATAGGTTTTGCTTGGACACTGAACAAAAGGGAGGGAACAAGATGACAGGAATATTAGGAAAGAAGTACAAGTAATCTGCAACCTTCTTTGTGTGGTAGGAAAGCTGCCTGGTCCCGATCAGCTATATCGGTTTGTAAAGCACACTTGCCAGTGTCGGGTAATTTGTTTTACAATTGAAAAAGCTCAGTGTTTATTTGAAAGCATGGGAGCACGCTGGTGGTGTGTGCTCCTTTGGTTCTTCAAAGGGTCATTTTCTCCCTCCTTTCTCCAATCTCTCTTCATTTTTACCTCTCTTCAAAAGCTCTTCCCCTTCATCTTCAATTTCCTTTATTCTGCCCCCTCCTATTCTCCTTTATCTTTTAAAACCACCCAAGACTTGTTAATGTGTTTCATCTCACTCATTTGTACTACTACTCAGAATTATAAATCTTCTGTTCCTGTTAGTTATATGCTCACACCTGCAACTATCTATAGATATATGCAAGCTTGAAAGAAAAATTCATACACACTTTTCTTTTTTCTCAGTCAGAGATTTTGATAACCTAAATTAAAACTTAGAGGGGAGATGAACTTCCTTAACTTCTCTAGGATACTCAGGAAAAGAAGAGAGCATTAGAAAAGAGAAGTTTGATATTGGATATAATGTGAATTATTTAATATTTATTCCATTAACAGATCTGTAAACACAAACCACTAAAAGTTACACAATTTTTGAGTTTTGTCACCAAATAGTCAAAACCAAGACCAACAGCCTTAATGTTTCTTAATCTAGCAGTGTTTCTGAAAAGATTATGATACATGCCTTAATATTCATATCACTTTCACCAATAATGAAAATACATTATTACTAAAATTCAAGCAGTACATTCAGTACCGTGATGCACTCTGAACTTTTTTTGAGTAAAAAAAAAATTTGCCATCAAAAAATCTAATAATATAAGAAAAAAATCTCATTTTTCTTTAAATATTTAGAAAATACTTGAATATAACACCACAATAAATGTCATCAGTGTAGGCCACTTTGGAAATTTGGTCTTATGAGTATGTCACAAGTTCAATCTTTATTCAAGTAAAAATCAAGTTTTCTGTGAAAACTCTTGTGAAGCCAGTAAGAAATCAGGTTGCTTAGTGATTTTTCTCATCCCAAAGCAGCGTTTTGTTATCATGACTTCATTTTTTGAAAGCATCACTTTAACACTGGAGAAATTCTCATGTTGGGCTCAGTACATCTGCAATGAATTTCACCTCCTCATTCCCTGCTCCACTCACGGGTGCCTTACCACGTTGGATATTTTACAAGGATAAGGAAAGCAAGCCTGGAGTGAAGGAGACTTGCCGTGCTGTCTAACTCTCATGTCAGGGCACGGGTACCCACACGCAGTTAAATTTGGCACAGGATGAGCAACTCGCGCAGGTACGAGTCAGGGACTTCCAGCAGCAGGTCTGGAGTGCCCTCCGGTGGCTACCGGCAGATAATCTCAAGGATTTAAAGGCTGTCTAATTCTCATGTCAGGGCACGGGTAGGTACCCACACGCAGTTAAATTTGGCACAGGATGAGCAACTCGCGCAGGTACGAGTCAGGGACTTCCAGCAGCAGGTCTGGAGTGCCCTCCGGTGGCTACCGGCAGATAATCTCAAGGATTTAAAGTGCACGATCTTCTCACAGACGGGCAGTTTTTCTGCTTTTTTGAATTTCTGCTCCTCTTATCGAGGCTGAGTTTCTGCCCTCTTGATGCAGTGAGCCAGCCTTGGTCAAGATCCTCACTGGCATGCCTCGGTGTTAGAGTAACGGCTTGGTTTCTCGTGGGAGATGTGCTCACAGTTACTGTGGCAGAAGGCCCCTTGTAAATGTTTAACCATATTCATTTTTACAGGCTGAAACACCCACATCTACCTTTCCCCTTTATATTACCTGCAATGAGAGATCATAATTTGTCAGTGAACTGCACCTCCTATGCCTCTTGTTTTTGTTTTTCTAAAAAAGGCAGATTCTCCAGATGTCAGGTGATTCCCGTAGCTCATTGTTTCTCAGAAGTGACTTCCCTTACCCATCTACATGTCTGAAACTTGCCCAGGCCCACAGCTTGGCTGCTGCAGCATCCTTTTCTCTGGCTTTGAGCAGCGCTCTCATCCTCTTCTAGTCCAGACAACTGCTACAGAGATCACTCCCTCACACCCCTCCCCAGTGCCACTCACTTATTGCTAGGGTTGGCTCCTACCTCTATTACGCCCACACCAACAAACTAACTAATTCAGCTGTTTCTTTGGCTTACACAAAGTAAGCTGATTTTCACACATTGTGAAAACCATCCACAAACCTACCTCTTCTACCTCCTTTAAATTGTTCCCTCCCCTGCCGTTCAGGGTGAGCCTAAGTACATAATTGTAAGGTCAGTTGTGTTGGTGACCCATCATCTCTCACGCTCACCTACCTCTGCTTTCCTTCCTACAGCTGTTTGTATCTCTTTTCTATCACCTGTTTTATACTTAGTCACTAATCCGAGCCTGAGAAAACTTCTCTTTTGAATCTGGACGCATCTAGATGTGTCAACAGGGCAATACAAATGCTTGATAATAGTAAGATGAACTGAAAACACTATTCCAGTTGGTGACACCCTTTTACATATAAACTGTTGATTGCTCCTTTTTTAACACCACTTTTAACTAAGTAATCCCTGTGTTTCCTGCCAGGTGGAGCCATAACACAATCTGTGAAGAAAGAAACGTGATTAAATAATGACTTTGTAGTCTGCCAGGGGAAAGTTAAGATTTGCGGTGAAGTTGCTCTACAATCCTCCTTCACGTCTAATTTTGACACAGAAGACTTTAGCTCACATTCCTAAATCCCCAGTTTGACATGTGTCTCATCTGTGGTGCTAGTTAATGGCTTGTGGTTAGGATTTGCTCCACTGTGTCAGGTTTGGCACTATCCAAAACATTTGCATTAGGAACAACACACACGGCACCAAGGGCTGAGCATGTCCCTCGTCCTTTGCTGGCAAGCTCACGGCTACGCAGCATCAGCCACCAGCAGCAAATCCATCCCCGTGGGCTCAGCACCAGCACGGATCCTGTTCTCCCTTGGGTTTCCACTGCCTGTCCTCTGCCTGGGCTGAGGGACACACAGCACACACCCTGTGGTGGTGCTTGCCAAGAGGGAATGTAGCCCCTGTCCAGCACATACAGCCACTGTGTACACATGCCTAAGGATGGATTCTTCGTGCAGTAAATACAGCTAATACAATGAAGAATTATTCTCATCATATACAGTTCTATGTGAACATGCACCTGTATAAATACCCTAAATGACAACAGCAACCAGTTAACCAAAAATTTCTGACTGAGAATAACATTCTCAACAGTGTCAGAGACTACCTGTATGTTCAGAAACAAAACAGGGCAGTGAAGCACAGACCAGCTGATGTTCTACATCCACATCTACAGCCACATCTGAAATGCCTGCTGGGGGCAATTCCTGGACTGCCTTAGACACCAAGTACTGCCACAGCACAGCCACAGGAAGGATACCATTTGGAGCATACCGAAACTGTGGCAAAGCCCGGCCTAGCATTAAACACTACAGTGACTACAGGTCTGCGCTTGAACCTGCCCTCTGGTTTTATTTACCAGAGTTGTAGCCTGAATGATTTAACAGTCTACAGTCTATTTCCATTTCTTCCTTGGACTGATTTTTATGGCTATGTAGAGACACTGCAGATTTTGTGCAAGTGCCCACTTGCTTAGAATTGTTTCAGTTTGTAAGAGTTAAGCCTGTGCATCTTAACCTTCATAAGGGCTCTGAAATTGTTTATTGAAAATAGATCTTGAACTCCTGAATCACCTAATAGATTCTGAAAATAACTCCATGGACAGTAAAGCTGTGCCAATTTAAATTAAGATATATTCCACTGGATATTCAGTCATTTGGTTTCAGTATGCAAATTAATGTACAGCTGTGAAAAAATGACAAGGAAAAAAAAAAGATGTGTTTGTATTGTTGTTCTGTGATAACTGTTCAAAGGACATCCCTTGAAAATAAAATCTAATATAAATCAAAAAAGGAGGAAAGTCTTACTGAAAATATAGTTCAGTTGGAAACATATATTGCAGTGAGTTATCCCTAGGGGTTTTGTGCTAGCATTTCTGTAAGAACTTTACCCCCTGGCTTGCTGGGTATCTCTCACATTCTGTTTTCTGCCGTGCTTTCATAAATTAAAGTCTTTGCAAGTTTACACCCATGAGGTGGGCTGAAGTCAGCTTGGTTTTTAAAGATAACAATATTAGTTAAATTATTTCACAAATAAATACATGGTTTTGTATTATATAGCAAAAATAGAAAGGCTGTGGCAGAAAAAGATATTTTAGATGGGGTAAAAAAATAAAGTGGACCGTAATACAGGATAAATGATTCAGATGGCACAAAAACTACAGATACAAAAGCACATAAACACTTGCTACACGAGCAGTACTTCAGGAATGAATGCTTCTCCTTACCTTTAGAACAACCAAGGTCTGAGTCTTTGCCACTTACACCAGAATCAGACCTCAAAACCCTACTGACTTTAAAAGCATGTTTATCTTTGCAAGGGTTTAACCAAATTTTGTTGGAATCAATAGAAAGAAACACATGATTTAACTGCCTTTGGATCAAAATTTTACATCAATTTGTCCTACACAGGATGAGAAACAAATTTGCTTAACTTTCCCAACCATGCAATAATTCCTTTCTCTCTCACTGTGTACTAGAGGTGGATTTTCCCTTATATGTACATTTCCTGTGGTTTATGTTCTCATTCGCTACTGTGAGCTAGAGTCCGCATCTTCCGGAAACTTGCTGATTGCTCACCTATTCACAGCTCAATCCCAGAAGTCCATTTCTATGTGAAAAATCGGACTAGCCCCATGGGTCTTAAAGATATCCTAGACTTTTGCCAAAAATGCATCAACAGAGGAAGATGAGAGCAATGACATCACTTACTAAAAGGCACTAGGATAAAATGTCTACCAGTGTGGAACT